ATTTATAAAAAATAAAAGTACAATGTCAACGAATCTAATAAATGTATAGAAATTCGAAGTAAATTCGTATCATTCTATAGAATATAATAGGTCTCTGGAAAACATCAATTTAGTCTAAACACTAAATAATCATCAGTAAAAACCGACTACTGTAGAAGCAGAGGTTAAAAATCAAATACCGAAATCCAATAGAGCAACAGGATATATAAACAATACAATATAGAGGAAAACACATTAGATGGAAACTAAGACAAGAATTTACAAAGCGACTATAAGACCAATAATGACATACACAGCAGAAACAAGATCTGATAAATCCAAAACACAAGGAATGCTAAAGACAACAAAAATCGCTGAAAACAGATGATATAGCGGAGATCTCTATAGAGTAAATCGAATACGCTCCAAGTAAAATGAAAAATAATAGAGCACATGGAAATGCTCACACGTCTGAAACACAAAATTGTCGTGGAAGCTAAAAAATGGGAAGGATCAACACTGAAATAGAAAACTTAAACTGTTTTTAATATATGCATGTATGAACATGCAATACCCTTGGACTGGAACAATTAACTGACGATTCTACTCCTCAAAAAATATAACCTTACTGACATGGACATATATTAATGTCCTTAATCATCTGACCTAATTGTTTACTAAAATTATTACAATAGTGCTTGAAAAAACTCTTGTTTTAACCACCAGAATAGGCGGGATATCTGCTAAATGTCTGATGATTGAGAAAATTCTGAAGTACAATGGATCCTTAGTATTAAATTTCGTAGATTTCCATAAGACTTTTGACACTATAGAACGTGGAGCGATACTGAAGGTACTAAATGAGTGCTGAACCGACTACAAAGGAAACGAGATATGAACAGACAGAGTTTGTAAATGGGATAGATAAGATTGTTATCTACCTGTAAATTGAAAATGGAATAAGTATGTTATAGTATTAAAAATTGTTTTGTAATATAAAGTCGTTTACTATTTTTACAATTAACTTTTTTAAAATATTAAAGGCCACTGAGAAAAACAGCAATGGAAATGTACATATTGAATATTACTGACATTAATTTCTGCATTACAACCTCCTAGAGGGGATTTTTTGCAATAAAAGATTGAAAATTCTCATTTTAATGAAAATTTTACGTTGACCTATCTCCTGGGGACACGGTAAAAATTAAGGCTCTGATGTGGCGCGGATTGGTCGGTATATATTGTTACCTTAAGGGTTCGATTGCCAGCTAGCGTATCATGTCTTAATAATTTTATCAGATGCACACCTAGCAAATATTTGTTTTTGCAGTACATTTACTAATTTTAAAAATGTATACATAATAAACAGCGTAAAGCACTAGCAATGGGGCCAAGAATTAAGTATGGGAAATAGTATTAAATTTTGTGTCACTTTAGTAGTTGTTATGTTGATAACGGCTAAGTTTAGTATTGCAAATCTGATAACATTTATTAACACACACTTATAGTTGTTAAGTTACGACAGTTTTTTGTTTATAGACATAATTGACTATATAACAGATCATAAACAATATTTTTAATAAAAGAAATTCGTAAATAATACAAAACGCACTACAAATTGCTAACAATATAATATTATCAATTACTGTCACATATGTTTAGATTGTGTTGTATTGCCTAGCGTAATGCAATAAATGATTCTTACTTCAAATGATTTCTATATATTATTAAGCGTATCTCGTGTTAATCAAAAACCATTTAAAAAATCTATCTTAGTTAGTATTGGTGATTTAAATAACCAATTTTGTGGTAACAAAACTATGGGTCTGTCAGGGTGATCATTTGCTTAAAAATCTTCCAATGGGTCATAAATAAAATGTGTAAACCGCATTTTGTAAAACACTAGTTTAATCTAAATAAAAATATATTCAACATAAATAACAAAATATGAACAATATTATATGTACCGGGTGGTCCAATAAGCCGATCTCTCGGCTATATATCAGAAACTATTCATGTTATAACTTTAGGAAAAAAATTGCTAGTGAAAGTGGCCAAGAGAAATCGCTGGAAATAACTTTCAAGTTTCTGGGTTAACCGCTAGAGGGCGTAACCTGTGAAGAAAACTTTGAAAACCAGTTTTTTTGGGAAATATGTCCAATATTAAGATCGGTAATATTAGTAATTAATTATCAGTACTAATAATTCGTGATGAGTATATCAAATTGTATGATATGATTGGAGTTTATTTCGAATGTCACCAAAATGCCGATATTGCCACACGTATATATTTTGTAAGATATGTAATATAATGTTTTGTAAGATGTAAAATCTGAAAGTACCTACTGACTTATTTTTTAATTTAATTTATAATACAGAGTGTGTCAATACTATACTTACTTATGTATACGCGTTTTTATTCATATCTCGAGTTCGACAAAAGATATTAACATGTGGTTTGCGCCATTTTGTTACGAATTTAATTCAGTTTCATTATAATTTACAATAAGTAGGTGTTTCTATTAAACATTTTGAAGAAAAAAAAACAAATTTAAATTTTTTCTATTTGAAAGTACCCTCTATCTACGACAATTAAAACTAACTGAAATAATTTTATGGTAGATATAATTTAATTCGTCCACACTCTTTCTAATGACGCTAATTTTCTTAGAATCGGTTTGATCCAAACCAAAGTTATAGTTATTTATCCACAAATACTTTTCCACTCTCCCCCACCCTTTATTTGAAAAAAAAAAATTAAAAAAAGTACTTGAACAACTTTGTGCAGAATGTATGCCCCTTTCTAGTTTACTTATTTAACACTTGGTATAATTGGACATATTTCCCAAAAAACTGGTTTTCAAAGTTTTCTTCACAAGTTACGCCCCCTAGCGGTTAACCCAGAAACTTAAAAGTTATTTCCAGCGATTTCTCTTGGCCACTTTTACTAAGAAAAAAAAAGAGGTTAGTCTTCGTAAATGGGTATATTTATTTAAAAACCCTTAAAAGGGCTACATCAAAAAAACAAACGTTTTCGGACTAAACAGTTCATCATCAGGTTTAAAATTTTAAAATTGCCTAAAATAAGTTTAAACCATTTAGTTAAAACAAACGTGGTTATGAAATTTTGACTATGGTTAAAAAGCAAAAATGGTTATACTTACAAGATTATAATGCCTGAGCCACCAAAATACCTGGGTAAAAACCCTTTAAATTACATATAGTTGTAAAAGATTATACATCATGTTGTAAAAAAACTGTGATGTTCAGTATTAGATTAAATTTTACTTCAGGTAACATACATGGCTGAAGTGAGTTCCAGAGCCGGAGAGTAAACCTCTTCACACGGAGAACAGCTGGTAACTGATTGACAATATACCTATGATCTACAACAAAGAGTTGTATTTATACAATACCTTGTGAAAGCGAACAATGCCGCTGGCAAACAGAGCTTATTTTATCCTCTCCCATATATTTCGGTCTAAAAATGCCCACCGAAATACAAAGATGAGAATCTTTAAAACGTTAATTGCATGCTATTGCAGTGAAGCATGGTCCTGAAATAAACATCCAAAAGCAAACTCGAATGCAGTAGGATCTGGTTACCGATAAAACCGTAAAAGAGGAAATCAGTTCAAAGGAATTATTAGGTTTTGTAAATTAATTAAGATATCGGTAATACATCATTTATTTTTTAAAATATCACGCATATAAAGTGATAGTTTTATATTAAAATTGAACATTTAATTATTCATTAACAACTAAATATAAGACATATATAATATTTACCATTTTGAGATAGTACCATGAGGTTTTTTCCTGGCTTTTTTCCTTATGATATACTATGTCATCACCAATAGGAGAATTTTACTGTTATCATTTCATTTGGTTGTCTTTTTATGGAAAAATCTCTTACCATGATCTTTCTGATGGGTATTCTTAATTTAAAATTGATTCCGTATCTTCTACTTCTTTTTATGTAGACATGACTCTGTTTGTTTTTGAATGTGCCTATAGTAAGTTGTCGTTCTATCGTTTTCGTGGTCTTCCCACTGATCGTCTTCCTATTGAGGAACGTCTCTTGCCGACTTTACTATTCTATTTGATGTCATTCGACATATATGATCGTTCCATTAATCTTCTATTTCTTACCCAGTTCTTGATGTTCTCAACCTTTTATCTACGTCGTATATCTATACTTCTAGCTCTGTCCCATAATGTCTTACCTTCAATTTTTTTAAGTGATTTCATCTTGCGTACAATAAGTGGCTCACTTCCTTTAATTTGTCCCGGTCAAATACCTTCTTAAGGTCCACGAAACATAGATGTGCCGGTTTGTTGTATTCTAATATTTTCCCTTACACTTTCCTCACTATAAATATAGCGTCGGTGCATGACCTTCCTGATCTAAAACCTTGTTATTCTTCTGCTAGTGTTATAATTTCATTCAGTTTATTTGTTATCATCACTTTGGTTGTTAATTTTAGTGTTGTGTTTAATAAATTAATTCCTCTGTAATTTCCGGGTCCGATTTGTCTCCCTTTTTAGGATTAGTTTTAATAGTTGTTTGGTCAGATCTGGTCCTTCGTACTTTAGGAGTTCGTTCGGTATTCTGTCCTCTCCTGGTGATTTTCTATTTCTAATTTCCTTATTGCTTCCTTTACCCCTTCCTCTTCAAAATTTATTTCTTCGTTCGTCGTCCCCTATGGTGTTGGTGATTCATATCGTCACCTTTAGCAAAAAGAGGTCGAAAGTAGTCTACCCATGTTTCCTTCTGAGTGTTTCGTTTTTATTTGTATACATTCCAAAAACGTTCTGTAATTGTGATACGACCCGTGGATATTTTATTATATACCTTTTATAAAGGATTTTAATAAAAAAAATTTTAATTAAAATTAAATTCAGTATCAGAATTTTTTTACCAACAAAAACAAAATTCCTAATATGCTCATTTTCTCTTCTATATATACTTATTATATATTCTTATAAATATTAACCATATTTCTTTATTTTGTTTATAGACTTTAACAAGGCATAGACCCAGGCCGAGATCTCAGCAATCTACTTGGTCTCGCAGTTTTCCACCAGAGACACCTTCAGTCGCTTCGTCTCCAGAAGAACAGTCTTTCTTTCAAAAACCTGTCGTCCCCAGTTCTCCACGTACACCGGAAGGGGGAGACGCCATTGATAGTTCTGAAGCAGTAGTACCAAGATACAGGTAAGCTATGGTGATTTTTAGTGTAGGAAAACGCCTTTAACTATAATTTTAACTATTTTATAAATTTTCATGAAATCCTTCGTAAACATTACTCTCATTATCTCACCCAATGTGAATAATCCTTGTCTCATATACTTATTTTTTTGACTTACTTTTTGACAGACTTAAAGTGGCTGAAAATTAGTATACAACCAATCACACGTACTCATAGCCAATATTAATAGTAAACAAACTAAATTGTCCATAAAATAGAACTTTGCGAATTACCGACAATCAATATTTATCTATCTGCTCCACATAATAAATAGTTATGTTAAATTATAACAACTAAAATATATTTTGTAAATATTTATTACCCAAAATTTGATGGGTTTAGTATACACTTCCACTATTTAGAATAATTCTTCTTTTTTCAAAGAAAGAAATACACGAAATTTCGACAGTGTCGATAAAAAAAACGGAAATCGTCGAGCGATGGAATTAATGCTTTCGGAATTTACTAAATATTGATTAAGACGGAGGAAGCAGATATTACGTTTCATTCTGCAGATATCAAAATAGCAGCACCTACACTTGATGAATTAAAGAATGCGATCACGTCTCTAAAAGACCATAAAGCACCAGGAAATGATGGCATAAATGGATAGTTGTTAAAAAAAGGAGGAAACTTTTTACACTAAAAATTGTATGACATCATTCTGAGAGTCTGAGAGACATCATTCTTGAAATGAAAGGAAGGACATAGATAATAAAGATCTCCGAATAATTCTCAATCTATATTGGAATCAGAAAGCTAACATCAAAATAGAAACTGAAACATCACAAGCAATAGAAATACGTAGAGGAGTACGACAGGGTTGCATTTTGTCACCTCTGTTATTTAATGTATATAGTGAAAGCATCTGTCAAGAAGCCCTTTTACAAGCAAACGGAGGAATCGTAATTAATGGAGAGATTGTAAATAATATTCGATACGCGGACGACACTGTACTAGTTCCAAGAACAGTAGAAGAATTACAAAGATTACTTACAGACATAAATATTGCTTGCAACAATTATGGTATAAATATCAATATTAAAAAAACCAAGTATATGGTCTTCAGTAAAAACATGACACAACCAGAGTATATTAGTATAAACGGCACTCAAGTTGAAAAAGTATCAAGTTACAAATACTTGGGAACTTTAATAAACGAAACTGGAGACCAAAACAGTGAAATAAAAAGACGCATCGAAATTGCCAGGGCCACCTTCATAAAGATGAGAAAATTCTTCTGCAACAGAAATATAAGCATCCCTCTACGATTAAGAATGCTGAGAGGCTATGTATTTAACACGCTATTATACGGTGTAGAGGCCTGGACTCTCAAACAGAACAACATGAAAAATATTGAAAGTTTCGAGATGTGGTGCTACCGTCGAATGCTGAAGATTAGTTGGGTTGAAAGAATAACAAACTGTGAAGTAATACGAAGAATAGGAAAAGACCCAGAGATTTTGTTAACGCTAAAGCGAAGAAAACTCGAATATTTTGGTCACCTGATGAGAGGACATAAATACGCATTACTTCAAAATATAATGCAGGGAAAAATAGAAGGAAAACGGAATTCAGGCCGTAGAAGAATGTCATGGTTGCGGAATTTGAGAGAGTGGTTTGGCTGCACCACTAATGAACTCTTTAGGTCAGCCGTAAACAAGGTCAGAATAGCCTTGATGATTTCCAATCTCCGATAGGAGTGGCACAAAAAGAAGAAGAATTCTGAGAGTATAGCAACAACAGAAAATGCCTAGAGAATGGAATGGAAGCGTTATGATTCCCATATATAAGAAAGGAAACAAAGAAAATTCAGAAACTATAGAGGCATATCGCTTATTAGCACATCATATAAAGTGCTATCAATTATATTGCTAAAGAGACACACCATACTCGGAATATATTCTAGGCGACTACCAATGCGGCTTTCGTGCTGGAAGGTCAACCACATAGAAAAAGAGGTCTCAGCAAGGATAGCTGTAGGAAATAGAGCATTATACTCCCTTTCAACGTTATTAAGATCGAAGCCACTAAAAAGAAAATCTAAATTAACACTGTACAAGTCGATTATTCGCTCAATTATTACATATGGCAGTGAAACATGGACTCTCAACCAGCAAGAAATCAATAGGCTTCTAGTATTTTAAAGAAAGGTTCTCAGATTATTTGGCCCTCAAAGAGATGAATTCACATGAGATTGGAGAAGATGCCGCAATGCTAAATTGATGACTCTGTATGGAACTGAAAACATAGTTAGACATATCAAGGCAAACCGAATAAGATGGACAGGTCACGTAGTACGATCAGAGAATGACAGAGTGTTCAAGACAGTGTTTGATGATGTTGAAGACGGTTTATGTAGAATTGGCGTGCAATAATGGGAAACCGAAGCGCAAGATCGTAGAGGATGGAGGGCGATAATGGATGCGGCGAAGACTGACCTCGAGTTGTAAAGCAAGTAAAGAAGAAGAAGATAAAAAAAATCTTTCCAGTATGGACCTAATCAATAATAGATGATATTTAGAAATAAAACTGCCGATACTAATTATTTTTTGATATCGTTTTTTTTTAGCCTCAGTTCCTGGTCTAATATCAGCAACAATTGGTTTATATTTGTGTTAAATGTAGATCAGTGATTTAGAATGAATATCATAAGTCGTGTGATTTTAAAAAGCGTAAAGAATCTGTGCTGAATCATATATTAATTACTAATTTTACCAAAAAAAAATTAATAACCATCTAAAGAGTTTATAGAATGTAAAAGTTTTTCCAAGCATTTTTTGATCGTTTCTAACTACCATTTCTGACATTACTGTACCCTTCTCATCATTATTTTTAATTACAATGCCTCCCCAGACAAATACATCTCCTGTCGGATGTTTTAAATGTAAATTTACAAACTCATTCATTTTCATTTTTAAATAAAGTACGTAAACATACCCGGACAGATACTACGAGTATTTGTTTAATGAAAATGTATTGCACAAAAAAGGGATTTCGAATGATGTTATGTATAAATTGCTGTTCATTTGTGTATCGTTTTGTATTCATTTTAGTTTTACCATATGTTTTCGTAATTTCCTGAAATGCACAAATGTTGCACAAACTACAGTACTGGCTAAAATTTCCGTATCACTTAAAAAGCAACCTTTTTAACTTATCTAATTGATTAGTTAAAATGTATACGGGTTATATACAGTGCTTTTCAAGTAAAACTTTCCACTTTAAATAACTTTTGAACAAAGCGCAAAAACACGTCAATGAATATTTGAAGGGGGTGACATGATATCATATTTAAGCTTGCTGTGAAAGGCATCCTCTCACCCCTTATATCATCCCTTTATTTTCTTTTAAATTACTTTCTTCTTTTTTTATTTTACATTTGGATTCCCTTTTTTACTGATTTCAAACCGTACTATTTTAAGTACCTTCAAAAACCAATAAACAAAATACTTCGCTTTTTATTAAAGTTTTGTCAAAAGTTTTCGATATTTAGGCATTCATTTTAATCGCTTAATACTCAATGATAATTTGTTATAATTTGTACAGAGTATTTTGATACGTATTTGATCAATGAAATGATTTACACTTTGCAAGAAAGAAGTCAAATTGTATGCTTATAGAAAAAAATAGGATTTTTAATGAAACACTCCACAATATACATGCTACATACATGTATACATACACAACTCATAAGTATGTGATTGAACTGTTGCAGAAATTTAGAGCAACAGGGTCAGTTTGCAATAAAAAACGTAACCGACAAGCAGTTGTATATGACGAAGCAATCCAAGTAGCTGTTTTAGGGCAATTTAACTAGAGGCTGAGCAATCACAGTCACTGTCAACAATAAGCAGAGCAATCGTTTTATCTTCTTCGGCCTTCTGAATCGTGCATAAATGTAAGTTCCATTTATACAAAATTAAATTCGTACAAGAATCAAATGAAGAAGATTTTGATCATCGTCTCGAATTGTGCGAATTAATGACACAATGAATCATTCATTAACAATCCACAATTATTGTTAAGCAATATTTGTTTATAGGATGAATGCTCATTTTCATTCAATGGATTGGTGAAGAGACAATTGCCGATACTGGGCTGAGAGTGATCCACATATTGTGCGTGAATTTCACAGACCGCATCCTCAAAGGTTAAACGTATGGTGTGGTATCCTAGGTAATCGCAATATTGGACCCTTTTTTGTAACTGGAAACTAATGGTGTCTTGAGTTAATTGTTAATGTTATAACATGGGTCATCTATAGGTGATGACAAATGTTTCACTTTACACTTAGCACTTTGCTTGCAGTAGATGTTTAAGTCATACAAGTATCTACAATTATTAAAGAAAGCTCTGGTGAGACTGAAACCAGAAAACGATTTGGACAAGGTAAGCAGGTGACACAAATAAATTGTGTGATATATGATATTAGTAGGTATCTTATAATTAGACCCAAACCCTGACGTCCAAAGTAAAAGTTATTCTCCAACATGATATTGTTCTATTTCGGATTGGGACTGCGTCGGATTTGGGGGGGGGGGGATTGCCGGGAATTGGGAAGTTGGGAAACCGGTAAATTAGTAGTTTTTTACGGTTTTCGTAAATTTCAAAAACTTTGCGGTTTAGCGTGATAAGGGGTAAATACAAATTACGTATAACGTAAATCAGTGCTACGGAGAAACCTACTTTCAAGTTTCTATGGACAATGTCGCATGAATATCTTTTTGAACAGTAAATTCCAACAAAATAATTTTAAATACTCAAAATATTTCTTGCATAATTATTTCTTTTATAATGATTATAATGCAATGAGTTTCAAGTAAACTTATTCATCCATTTCAGTCCTTTTCAAATATATCCTTCTCTTTTACATTTTCGTCTATGATTGTTGTGTCTATATTATTACATCCTAGGCCTGAGCGATTGCTGCATATTCTTGAGCAGTTTAGACCACTCTTTCTTT